ATAAATTTATTTTTTAAATAATTAAAGTACAAACGCTTTACAAAGGAAAGAAAACGAACGGACAAGGGAAAATTTTTGCAAAAATACAACAAAAATAAAATAAATTTTCAAAATTATTTATATGTTTTTTTAAATACTGTTAAAGGACTCTAAATAATTTTCTAAAGAAAAAAGATTTTTTCTAAAGATATTTTTTTTAGTTAAATTAAAACTAATGGAAGCTCAAATAATATGTTTAAAAGAAAATGTAAGTCTTTTTTTTAATAAAATTTCTTTTTTAGGTCCTTTTTTAAGAAAAGAAAATTAAGGTCTTTTTAGGAACGTTTTTCTTATTATAATTTCCTTTACATTTTTTTTAAAGAAACTGTGCGTGCGTTTAAATGCATTTTTTTGTTAAAATAAAAGTAATATGCATTATTTTTTAAAATGTTTGTTTTAATTAAAACTATTTAATGCTTACAACTAATTTAAATTTAAATCACTAAACTTTTTTTTTAACTAAAACTTATCAACTAAAGAGGTCTTCAGTACGCTTGTTTATGTGTATGTGAATATTTATATAATTTTTTTTAAGAATTATTCTGATGTTTACTGTTTAGTTGCCATTTTCCTTAATTTGTGGTTTGACAATATCACCATTTGTTATGAGAGCCGGTGTTTCGGGATCAATAATACTCATGCGTTTGGCTAAGGCATCTTCAGGTGAGTTCCAACTTTGTACTTCAGTTTTACCCATCAACACGAATAGAAGATTTCCGAAGAAGTAGAAACCGGCAGCAATGAAAAAGACCATACGCCATTCGATCACATTGGTCTGGAAGAGATAATGAAAATGGAGGGTTAGAATTTTGATTTTCGGTTGGCCAATAGTATATAGTCTAGTCTATAGAGTAGTCTATAGTCTAGTCTATAGTCTAGTCTATAGTCTAGTCTATAGTCTAGTCTATAGTCTAGTCTATAGTCTAGTCTATAGTCTAGTCTATAGTCTAGTCTATAGTCTAGTCTATAGTCTAGTCTATAGTCTAGTCTATAGTCTAGTCTAGTCTAGTCTATAGTCCCTAGTCTATAGTCTAGTCTAATAGTCTAGTCTATAGTCTAGTCTTAGTCTAGTCTATAGTCTAGTCTATAGTCTAGTCTATAGTCTAGTCTATAGTTTCTATAGTCTAGTATAGTCTAGTCTATAGTATAGTCTATAGTCTAGTCTATCTCATAGTCTAGTCTATAGTCATAGTTCTAGTCTAGTCTATGTCTAGTCTATCGTCTAGTCTATAGTCTAGCTAAGTCTAGAGTTCTGTTATAGTCTAGTCTATAGTCTAGTGCTTAGTCTAGTATAGTCTAGTCTATAGTCTAGTCTATAGTCAGTCTATAGGTCTATAGTCTTAGGTCTAATAGTCTAGTTAGTCTATAGTCTAGTCTATAGTCTAGTTTAGCAATAGTCTAGTCTATAGTCTAGTCTTATTAGTCTAGTCTATAGTCTAGTCTATTAGTAGCTAGTCTATAGTCTAGTCTATAGTCTAGTCATAGTCTAGTCTATAGTCTATAGTCTAGTCTATAGTCTAGTCTATAGTCTAGTCTATAGTCTAGTCTATAGTCTAGTCTATAGTCTAGTCTATAGTCTAGTCTATAGTCTAGTATAGTCTAGTCTATAGTCTAGTCTATAGTCTAGTCTATAGTCTAGTCTATAGTCTAGTCTATAGTCTAGTCTATAGTCTAGTCTATAGTCTAGTCTATAGTCTAGTCTATAGTCTAGTCTATAGTCTAGTCTATAGTCTAGTCTATAGTCTAGTCTATAGTCTAGTCTATAGTCTAGTCTATAGTCTAGTCCTATAGTCTAGTCTATAGTCTAGTCTAGTATAGCTAGTCTATAGTCTAGTCTATAGTCTAGTCTATAGGTCTAGTCTATAGTCTAGTCTATAGTCTAGTCTATAGTCTAGTCTATAGTCTAGTCTATAGTCTAGTCTATAGTCTAGTCTATAGTCTAGTCTATAGTCTAGTCTATAGTCTAGTCTATAGTCTAGTCTATAGTAGTCTAGTCTATAGTCTAGTCTATAGTATAGTCTAGTCTATAGTCTAGTCTATAGTCTATAGTCTAGTCTATAGTCTAGTCTATAGTCTAGTCTATAGTCTAGTCTATAGTCTAGTCTATAGTCTAGTCTATAGTCTAGTCTATAGTCTAGTCTATAGTCTAGTCTATAGTCTAGTCTATAGTCTAGTCTATAGTCTAGTCTATAGTCTAGTCTATAGTCTAGTCTATAGTCTAGTCTATAGTCTAGTCTATAGTCTAGTCTATAGTCTAGTCTATAGTCTAGTCTATAGTCTAGTCTATAGTCTAGTCTATAGTCTAGTCTATAGTCTAGTCTATAGTCTAGTCTATAGTCTAGTCTATAGTCTAGTCTATAGTCTAGTCTATAGTCTAGTCTATAGTCTAGTCTATAGTCTAGTCTATAGTCTAGTCTATAGTCTAGTCTATAGTCTAGTCGATAGTATAGTCTATAGTCTAGTCTATAGTCTAGTCTATAGTCTAGTCGATAGTATAGTCTATAGTCTAGTCTATAGTCTAGTCGATAGTATAGTCTAGTCGATAGTGTAGTCTAGTCGATAGTATAGTCTAGTCGATAGTATAGTCTAGTCGATAGTATAGTCTAGTCGATAGTATAGTCTAGTCGATAGTATAGTCTAGTCGATAGTATAGTCTAGTCGATAGTATAGTCTAGTCGATAGTATAGTCTAGTCGATAGTATAGTCTAGTCGATAGTATAGTCTAGTCGATAGTATAGTCTAGTCGATAGTATAGTCTAGTCGATAGTATAGTCTAGTCGATAGTATAGTCTAGTCGATAGTATAGTCTAGTCGATAGTATAGTCTAGTCGAAAGTATAGTCTAGTCGATAGTATAGTCTAGTCGATAGTATAGTCTAGTCGATAGTATAGTCTAGTCGATAGTATAGTCTAGTCGATAGTATAGTCTAGTCGATAGTATAGTCTAGTCGATAGTATAGTCTAGTCGATAGTATAGTCTAGTCGATAGTATAGTCTAGTCGATAGTATAGTCTAGTCGATAGTATAGTCTAGTCGATAGTATAGTCTAGTCGATAGTATAGTATAGTCTAGTCGATAGTATAGTCTAGTCGATAGTATAGTCTATAGTCTAGTCTATAGTCTAGTCTAGTCTAGTCTATAGTCTAGTCTATAGTCTAGTCTATAGTCTAGTCTATAGTCTAGTCTATAGTCTAGTCTATAGTCTAGTCTATAGTCTAGTCTATAGTCTAGTCTATAGTCTAGTCTATAGTCTAGTCTATAGTCTAGTCTATAGTCTAGTCTATAGTCTAGTCGATAGTATAGTCTATAGTCTAGTCTATAGTCTAGTCTATAGTCTAGTCTATAGTCTAGTCTATATTCTAGTCTATAGTCTAGTCTATAGTCTAGTCTATAGTCTACTCTATAGTCTAGTCTATAGTCTACTCTATAGTCTAGTCTATAATCTACTCTATAGTCTATAGTCTAGTCTATAGTCTAGTCTATAGTCTATAGACTACTCTATAGTCTAGTCTATAGCCTAGTCTATAGTCTAGTCTATAGTCTAGTCTATAGCCTAGTCTATAGTCTAGTCTATAGCCTAGTCTATAGTCTAGTCTATAGGCTAGTCTATAGTCTAGTCCTATAGTCTAGTCTATAGTCTAGTCTATAGTCTAGTCTATAGTCTAGTCTATAGTCTAGTCTATAGTCTAGTCTATAGTCTAGTCTATAGTCTAGTCTATAGTCTAGTCTATAGTCTAGTCTATAGTCTAGTCTATAGTCTAGTCTATAGTCTAGTGTATAGTCTAGTGTATAGTCTAGTGTATAGTCTAGTCTATAGTCTAGTCTATAGTCTAGTCTATAGTCTAGTCTATAGTCTAGTCTATAGTCTAGTCTATAGTCTAGTCTATAGTCTAGTCTATAGTCTAGTCTATAGTATAGTCTATGTCTAGTCTATATCTAGTCTATAGTCTATGTCTAGTCTATATCTAGTCTATAGTCTAGACTCTAGTCTAGTCTATAGTCCAGTCTATAGTCCGCCTTTAGTCTGTCTATATTGTAAGTACTGTCTATAGTCTAGTCCGTAATCTAGTTTATAGTCTAGCCTATAGTCTAGTCCGTAATCTAGTTTATAGTCTAGCCCATAGTCTAATTTACAGCCTAGTCATGTTATTATAATTCATAATCTATCAACTTACCACATCATTCACCACCACACCCACAGCCAAAGGAGCCAAAGCACTCATAACATTGGCAGCACCATTCGTAATGCCCATCAGAGTGCCCGCATAATTGGGAGACAAATCGATATGATTCACCTGGAAGCCCAGGTATGTAGCAGCACTAATACCCACTGTCAGCGTTAGTAAAACCACTGCCAAGGTGGAATGTTCCTCGGTGACATAACCCAAAGCAGCCAGAGAAATCATGGGAATCCAATGACCGATAGAATTAAAGAATTTGCGACTAAAAGCTAAAGACAAATTTTCCTTTTTCGACAATAGCTTTGAAAGATAGATAAAGCAGAAGGAGAGTATACACATCACAGCATAAGGCAGAGAGGAGAGTAGGGCACTATTTTTAATATCAACACCCAAAATGTTCTTCATATAGTTGGGGATTTGAGTCAGTAAAGTCCAGAAGCCCCACATGTGGGTACAGTGCACAATGATCAACGAAATGAATGGAGGTGAGGTAAAGATTTTCACCCATGGTGTGGGGCCCACAGTTTTGGGTGTATTATCCACTTGACCCAAAGAGTTTTCAATCATTTTCTTTTCTTCGGGCGATATACTCTTGTGTTCGGCGGGTGTACTAGCAGCAAACAAGTACCAGCAAATGGCCCATATGAAACCCATAGAACCGGAAATGTAGAAAATACCAGGCCAACCAGCAGAAGAATCAGCTATATAACCACTAACAGCTAATGTGACCACAGTGCCGAATTGTGAGCCCGAATAACAGAAGGTACCCAAAGCACCTCTTTCCTCTACCGGAGCCCATTTAGCTAACATGGCATGAGTGGCGGGATGTACGGCACCTTGCAACAGACCTTGTATAACACGCACAGCAAACAGTAATTTCCAACCACCTATGTGAGCTGCCACTGGGGTGAGTAAGGTAAGCAGAGAACATAAAGTGACACCAACTAAAAGTATAATTTTGGCTCCATATTTTTGAGCTATATGACCGCCTGGAATTTGAGTGGTAATGTAGCCCCAAAAGAAACTGCTTAGCAGATAGGATTTTACACTCTCATTCCATTCGAAATCCTAAAAATATATAAAAAATCTTAATGAATATACATTTTTAAAATTTCCATTAAAAGCACTTACCTCATAATCACTTTGTGTAGCATTTTTATCTGTCATCGCTACAATGGCCACACTCAAATTGACTCTCAAAGCATAGGCCAAAGACAGGCAGCAAAAGCATAGGAAACATTGTATATGACGGGTACCAATGAGTGGACCTGAAATAATATAAAAATAAAAAAATATTTGTTTAATAAAAGTAACATAATCTTATCTGTAAAAGATGCAGTTGCATTTTTATTATAAAAATACATTATCTTCTTTTTTTTTTTTTTGAAAAAAATATATAAACACAAATATTTATAAAACTCCTAGAGATAACATTGAAGTCCAAACTACTATGCCTTAATTGTAAAAACCTTTAAGTGGAACCTATTTTTATTTATTAGTCTTATCAGTTTCGAGTTGAATGTAATTTAATTTTATATATATTTTATTTATTTATTTACCCTACTCTATAAATATGTATTAGAAGACCGCGACTGTGACTTCTTGTATTTTGCCAGACTTCCTTGTATGAGATGGCGAAATGAGGCTGCAAAGTGATAACAATTTAATTGAATGCCAAAGACATAAGTCATATTTTGAACGGAGACTATAATAAACTGTTTAAGTGGTAGATGTAATTAAGATGACTTTTGAGCTTACTGAACCACCTATGGAGCCATTTCGACGAATTTATATAAATTTTAGAATATTTTAAACTACAAAATCTTCAGACTGAGTCTCGCTTTACGCCGTTTTCCATTGAACTTTAAAGTACTTTTAAATATAGGGACTTTACGACATCCAGTTTTAGTATATGTTTCTAGTTTAATTCTAGTTCAGTTCTAGTTCGGTTCTAGTTCAGTTCTAGGTCAGTTTTAGTTCAGTTCTAGTTCAGTTCTAGTTCAGTTCTAGTTCAGTTCTAGTTCAGTTCTAGTCCAGTTCTAGTTCAGTTCTAGTTCAGTTCTAGTTCAGTTCTAGTTCAGTTCTAGTTCAGTTCTAGTTCAGTTCTAGTTCAGTTCTAGTTCGGTTCTAGTTCAGCTCTAGTTCAGTTCTAGTTCAGTTCTAGGTCAGTTCTAGTTCAGTTCTAGTTCAGTTCTAGTTCAGTTCTAGTTAAGTTCTAGTTCAGTTCTAGTTCAGTACTAGTTCAGTACTAGTTCAGTTCTAGTTCAGTTCTAGTTCAGTTCTGGTTCAGTTCTAGATTAGTTCTAGTTCAGTTCTAGTTCAGTTCTAGTTCAGTTCTAGTTCAGTTCTAGTTCAGTTCTAGTTCAGTTCTACTTCAGTTCTAGTTCAGTTCTAGTTCAGTTCTAGTTCAGTTCTAGTTCAGTTCTAGTTCTAGTTCAGTTCTAGTTCAGTTCTAGTTCAGTTCTAGTTCAGTTCTAGTTCAGTTCTAGTTCAGTTCTAGTTCAGTTCTAGTTCAGTTCTAGTTCAGTTCTAGTTCAGTTCTAGTTCAGTTCTAGTTTAGTTCTAGTTCAGTTCTAGTTCAGTTCTAGTTCAGTTCTAGTTCAGTTCTAGTTCAGTTCTAGTTCAGTTTTAGTTCAGTTCTAGTTCAGTTCTAGTTCAGTTCTAGTTCAGTTCTAGTTCAGTTCTAGTTCAGTTCTAGTTCAGTTCAAGTTCAGTTCTAGTTCAGTTCTAGTTCAGTTCTCGTTCAGTTCTAGTTCAGTTCTAGTTCAGTTCTAGTTCAGTTCTAGTTCAGTTCTAGTTCAGTTCTAGTTCAGTTCTGGTTCAGTTCTAGTTCAGTTCTAGTTCAGTTCTAGTTCAGTACTAGTTCAGATCTAGTTCAGTTCTAGTTCAGTTCTAGTTCAGTTCTAGTTCAGTTCTAGTTCAGTTCTAGTTCAGTTCTAGTTCAGTTCTAGTTCAGTTCTAGTTCAGTTCTAGTTCAGTTCTAGTTCAGTTCTAGTTCAGTTCTAGTTCAGTTCTAGTTCAGTTCTAGTTCAGTTCTAGTTCAGTTCTAGTTCAGTTCTAGTTCAGTTCTAGTTCAGTTCTAGTTCAGTTCTAGTTCAGTTCTAGTTCAGTTCTAGTTCAGTTCTAGTTCAGTTCTAGTTCAGTTCTAGTTCAGTTCTAGTTCAGTTCTAGTTCAGTTCTAGTTCAGTTCTAGTTCAGTTCTAGTGCAGTTCTAGTTCAGTTCTAGTTCAGTTCTAGTTCAGTTCTAGTTCAGTTCTAGTTCAGTTCTAGTTCAGTTCTAGTTCAGTTCTAGTTCAGTTCTAGTTCAGTTCTAGTTCAGTTCTAGTTCAGTTCTAGTTCAGTTCTAGTTCAGTTCTAGTTCAGTTCTAGTTCAGTTCTAGTTCAGTTCTAGTTCAGTTCTAGTTCAGTTCAGTTCTAGTTCAGTTCTAGTGCAGTTCTAGTTCAGTTTCTAGTTCAGTTCTAGTTCAGTTCTAGTTCAGTCTAGTTCAGTTCTAGTTCAGTTCTAGTTCAGTTCTAGTTCAGTTCTAGTTCAGTTCTAGATCAGTTCTAGTTCAGTTCTAGTTCAGTTCTAGTTCAATTCTAGTTCAGTTCTAGTTCAGTTCTAGTTCAGTTCTAGTGCAGTTCTAGTTCAGTTCTAGTTCATTTCTAGTTCAGTTCTAGTTCAGTTCTAGTTCAGTTCTAGTTCAGTCTAGTTCAGTTCTAGTTCAAGTTCTAGTTCAGTCTAGTTCAGTTCTAGTTCGTTCTAGTTCAGTTCTAGTTCAGTTCTAGTTCAGTTCTAGTTCAGTTCTAGTTCAGTTCTAGTCCAGTTCTTCTAGTTCAGTTCTAGTTCAGTGTCTAGTTCAGTTCTAGTTCAGTTTCTAGTTCAGTTCTAGTTCAGTGATCTAGTTCAGTTCTAGTTCAGTTTAGTAGTTCTTAGTTCCAGTTTTAGTGCAGTTCTAGTTCAGTTCTAGTTCAGTTCTAGTTCAGTTCTAGTTCTAGTTCAGTTCTAGTTCAGTTCTAGTTCAGTTCTAGTTCAGTTCTAGTGCAGTTCTAGTTCAGTTCTAGTGCAGTTCTAGTTCAGTTCTAGTTCAGTTCTAGTTCAATTCTAGTTCATTTCTAGTTCAGTTCTAGTGCAGTTCTAGTTCAGTTCTAGTTCAGTTCTAGATCAGTTCTAGTTCAGTTCTAGTTCAGTTCTAGTTCAGTTCTAGTTCAGGTCTAGTTCAGTTCTAGTTCAGTTCTAGGTCAGTTCTAGTTCAGTTCTAGTTCAGTTCTAGTTCATTTCTAGTTCATTTCTAGTTCTAGTTCAGTTCTAGTTCAGTTCTAGTTCAGTTCTAGTTTAGTTCTAGTTCAGTTCTAGTTCAGTTCTAGTTCAGTTCTAGTTCAGTTCTAGTTCAGTTCTAGTTCAGTTCTAGTTCAGTTCTAGTTCAGTTCTAGTTCAGTTCTAGTTCAGTTCTAGTTCAGTTCTAGTTCAGTCTAGTTCAGTTCTAGTTCAGTTCAGTTCTAGTTCAGTTCTAGTTCAGTTCTAATTTAGTTCCAGTCCAGTACAAAGGTCTCCTAGAGTATTTTATATTTGAGCTGCCATCTTTCTTTGGAATTTGTAAGTACTGGTCCTATACAACACTTAAGTTCACAATAAAAGTAGAAACACAAAAAACAAATTCCTAAAACTTGAGTTTGTCTTCAAAGAATTTTCACAATCCCTAAATTTATACCCGTAGCGTTACTTTTCGTTCATTGTTAATCACACTTCATTGTTTGTGTTTACACAGTATACAGTAGTCACCCCGAACAAGCACTTTATTTTCCATACTATAGTTATTGTAATGATTGCTTATTTTTCGAGTGTATACCAAACACTCGATAATTTATAATGGTCTTAGGAGAAGATACTAGAACTGTTATACAGCTGCATGCAGTACAATTACGTTAACATTATTTAGTTGTTTGTCTATTTATTTAAACGTACTTGTTTAATACGTAAGTAGGGATGACAATGTGAACACGGTCATTATTTGTTCTGAACACATATAGAGCCTTCCATTGTTTTATTTCTTAAAATTTATTTATATTTATTATGCAGAGCTAATAAAACCTAATTAGTAGTAGTTTTTAAGAAAACATTAGATTTAAGTGTATATTTGTTTAGATATAAATAAGTATACAGATTTATTATCAGGTCGCACGTAATTTGTTTGAAACATTATTAATCATTTCGGAAATATTCCATAAGAAATTACCGCTATTTATATAAAATAGTTTTATCTTTTAATAAAAATAATATGTATTAGATAAACAGTTTATATCTCGCTTGTCAACAAAACCGCTATAAAAGTGTTCTAATCGGTCATGGCGAATTTTTTATGACAAACAGTGAAACTGTTCAAGTATTATAGTTGAAGCCGATTTTTCTCATTTTCCATATCCAAACTAGTTAAATTAGTTCAAAAACATGCATATTGTTATTTGAACCTAATTCGAAATCTTCTTAAATAGTAACAAATTAAAAGTTTATTGATCTTTAAATATTAAGTTTCACCTTCTTTGAATCAGATAAACCCACGAAGAAGAAGAAGATGAAAAAAACATTTAAACTTTTAAATGCATTTTAAAAATACCAAATAACCATGTGATTTCTATTTTTTTAATGTCCGTCTGTCTGTCAATCTGTAACTTGAAAATTTACTTTATTTCTCATACATAAAAATCCCCACACAAAGATCATGCACTAGTAGGTATGCTGCAACCAGCAACAACAACAACATTAAATCGTATTCGATATCACTGCACGAGTTTATCGCGCGAGTTTAAAATGTTACAAAAAAAAAATGTATCTACAAGTTCTCATAAACAATTTGTGGGTATGTGAGAGTATCTACAATGTTTACACTTGCATATGTAGTATATAAATACATTTATTTGATCACCAAATATGTTTACTCGTTTTCTCATTTTCTCTCTATTCGTGAGTAAAGTTAAAAAAGAGAGCTTTTAATTTAGAACCTCCACAACGATAATGGGGCCCTCGTTTATTTGTTTTTTAACAACAAAAACGTGTGCACTGCATGCCACTTTATCGTTTATTTTATGATTTTCATAAAGAAGGCATAAACTGGGGACTATAGGGTTGCCATGTTTTCAAATATTGGTTGAGATCAGGTTCAGATCAGAAAATAGTTTCACTTTGAATTTAAAGGATTTTTCCAACTATAAGCTACTCTTCTGAAGGTGGCCCTATATAGAGACTTGAATCTGTTATAGAACGATACTTCTGCAGAAGTATTTATCGGAA